CCCACATGCAATGTTTATCTTACCTGTATATATTAAGTTACAGATCCCACATGCAACGTTTATCTTACCTGTATATACTAAGTTACAGATCCCACATGCAACGTTTATCTTACCTGGAGGTTTTTTCGTTGTTACCGTCTTTTTCTCCAGCACTTCGTTAGTGAACGTAAATATGATGAGGATCTTGGAAGAGTAGCTCAGTTCACTTGTGATGTAGAGACTCTGAAAAAGAACATTGACTCGTTTGGACAAGGTGAGAGGGTAGGAGTCTTGAGTGTTAGACTAACAAAGACAGTCCTGCTAGTCCTGACCTCCATTCAGTGCTTTCCAGTGCCTTGAGTCTGCTTGTTTTTATGAAAAGTCACTGGGATACTTATGAAGTCTGGGGATACAAATATTTTGGACTGTAAGGATGAACATTTACCAGCCCCCTAAGTATAAAATACTTTCAGGTCTTTTGAGAAATATCTTATATAGCCCAAGCAAGCCACAAACTTGCTCTGTAGCCAAGGATGGCCTTACACTCCCAATTTTTTTTGCCTCCACCTTCCAAGTGCTGGGATCATGGACATATGCCCCAACACCAAGCAAAATACTTTTTTCCCCATTGTTTTCTAATGAGTTAAGAGGTATTTGATACAGTAGTATAAACAGCATGGGACTCTGGAGTCAGACCAAGTTTGAACGCTTGCCTTAGCGTTGATCTCCTGGAACCTCATTTTACTCCTCTTGGAGCAGAGATAACTGTACCTGCCTTGTTTTACACATAATAGTCCTTAAATAACAGCATTAGAAGTAGAAGGTTCAGGGCCTCTGAGTAAGAGTTTGTAGTCATACATTACCATGATAGAGGTCAGGCTCTGAACTTGGCTCTTTTGTTCCTCCACTCAGTATAAAGTGGAATGTTGGGACTGGGGATGTAGCTCAGTGGTAGAGTACTTGCCTAACCTATGCCAAGGACCTGGGCTTGAACCCCACAAGAGCAAAAAAGTAAAATGTTGGCCCTAAGGCATGAATGTTAACTCATCTTTAGTCCAGGCTTAAAGCCAAGGAAAAAATCTGGGGAGTGGTTTGAAACCATTGAAATATGACAACATTTGAATTGAAAATAATAATATTTTTCAGTTATGTTGGTATTTTGAATTTGGGGTTATTTTTGCAGAAAGAAATTTGGCAAGATACATGTTTGTTGTAAAGACTAGTTCTATTTATATTTAACTGATCTTGATTATTTTTACCTTACATCATTCAATTTGTAAAAAAAGAATTTAGCAAAGATTTGATTTGTTTACTTCTTTTCTTTCTATGCAAAGTCTGTCCTTCAGAATGCTCCTTGCATGGGAAACTGAACATATTGTGCAGTCGCTCCCAGGCTTAGTCGATGCTGGAGCCATAGCCAGGAGTTTAGGTAGTAGGAAGTGCCAGGAGTCAAGTCATGGGGATAGCTTGACACTAGGCTGTTCTCCTGTCTCTAGGAGTTCTTTATAATCAGTGGGATCTGGAGGTAAAGATGGCAGAAGGGAGGGTTTTCCTTCTTGTTAGCCCTTATACAGGTTTTTCTTCACTATTATAAAGTTATTTTATTGTTAGTAGGGGTGGTTGTGCATGCCATGGAGCACATGTGGAGGTCAGAGGACAACTTGGTGGAGTCGTTTCTCTTCTTCCACCTTTACGTGGGTTCTGGGACCAAACTCAGGTCAGCAGGCCTACATGGAGAGTGCCTTTATGCACTGAGCCATCTCACCAGCCCGCAAATAGACAATTCCTTTTTTTTTTTTTTTTTTTTTTTTTTTTTTTTTTTTTATGTTTCCCTGTAGCCCCAGCTGTCCTGGAGCTCACTATGTAGACCAGGCTGGCCTCAAATTCACAGGGATCCGGCTGCCTCTCTTTGTCTTTTTGAAGCAGGGTCTCCCTGTAGCCCCAGCTGTCCTGGAACTCACTATGTAGACCAGGCTGGCCTTAAACTCACAGAGATCCGCCTGCCTCTGCCTCCCAAGTGCTGGGACTAGAGGCGTGTGCCACCACTCCCAGCTCAAATAGACAATTCTTGTCCTTAAATTGCTCACTTGAAATGGAGAATTGAATGAATCCTCCTCCATTGTGCTTCTGCGTCATATGACCACAGCATGTTCCTCCTATTTGTTTCAGTGTCCCATCCAAAGAACAGCTACTCTACCAGATCTCGATGTAGCTCAATGGCGTCTGTGTCCTTGAGTGGCCCAAGTGATGGCTCTGCTGCTTCCTCCTCCTTCTGTGCCTCTGTTCCCAGCTTTACAGGTGCTAACAAGAGAAACTGTGCGCCAGGAGAGAGTTCTGCAGCTGTAGCAAATTCCAGCGACCAGCCCTGCCAGGCTCATCGGGAGGTAACCTGGCTTTTGTACTCAGGTGTCAGGGGAAAAAGATGCCCAGCTGTTGGAGGTTAAGTGCTGATATCTAAGTCTATTACCTTTGTTTCCATTTCACACCTGTGTTTGCACCCATCCCGTCTCAGGTAGTTCCTGAGAAAGCATTTGGCTTGGCATTCCAAACCACTAGCTAGTAGACCTCCTCTTGGCAGTGATCCTCACTGTCGTAGGTCATACTGTCTAGTAATGAGTCACACTGGGAGTTGTGCAGCCATCTCAAGAGCAGTGCGAGTGGCAGGTTTGCCAGCATGCATCTGAAAGCAGCAAGTCCCTAGAAGACCAATGTGACTATGTCAGGGGAAGGAAAGGTGAACCTGGTGGGGGTGGGGAGCAAACTCTAGAACGTAGAAGAGTAATCCACAGTCTGTTTTCCTTGGTTTGAAGGAGAAACACAAGAGCAATCCAAGGCAATGCTGTCATTAATTCTTCAGAACTGATAGAACATTGGAATTGGAAGAGAAAAAAGATTCCATAAACTTTCTGGATTGTAATGTGAATGGTGTTAAATGTCACAGCACCGTATTTAATCTGTGCTTCATGATATACAGCAAAGCAGACTACAGTGACACTTATTGTTATTCCAGATGTTCGCTAACTTCCTGAGTGACTTAGGATCTACAAAGTACAGGCATACAATAAACTTGTCTAATTGAGAGCTTGCAACGACCCCCAAAAATTTCTTCCATGTTCACATTAAAGAGAAGTAAATGCCTCTTTGGTAGAGAAGAGCCTAGGGATGAAAGGCAGGGAGATATTAGTGGAAGATGTGTTCATTGTGATAGTCACCATTTTGGATTGACTGACAGAATTGAATCCCAAACATATGATGAATATGCTTTCAGAACAAATTGGCCACCATAATACCAGAGCACCTTGAACATTATAATTTTTTTATCCTTAGGTATTTCCAGGGAACAGACGAGGAGGACAAGGCTACAGGCCACAAGGTCAAAAGACCAATGACCCTACAAACCAAGGGCGACATGACAATGTGGGTCGTCACAGAAATAGCTCGCAGTATTCATCTGGTTCCAGGTATCAGAGTGCTCCACCCCAGGCACCGGGAAACTGTAATGAATGGAGCCACGCCCACTCTGCAGGAACCAGTGGAATTGGAGCCAGCACAGAGCCTAGATCACCCAAGCCTTCCTTCAAAAAGGGGCTCCCCCAGCGCAAACCCAGGACCTCTCAGCCTGAAGCTGTGAACTCCTGAGAGAGATGCCAGTTGGCCTGTCTATTCTATCCCATACAGTTCAACCTGATAACTGGACTTTAGGAAACATATGCTTAGGTTTAATAACTAAAAGTTTATGCGTATCACTCCAGGCTATTTTAAATATTTTTGGTCTCTTATTTTTTTGCGGGGAAGCTGTTTTTCCCTTGACCTTTCCCAGTAATATGGACTGACTCTCGTGGGTCATTTTCACCAGGAAATCAGCAGCTGTTGCCACTTTACCCAGGGGCGAGCAGTCTTCTTCCCAGCACCCATCTTCCAGCTGCCCAAAGAGGCCTTATTCAGCAAGCACCCACTGCAGAGGCTGTCTTGGGAAGCAGAAGGCCAGAGCTAGTCCTGTCACTTTTTCGTTTATTTTATGCAGACACCACAGATGCCTGCCAGATTCTCCCTAAATGGCAGTTTGAACAAGAGTAGCAATGAGGGGATTTTATATTATACTGAATTCATCAGAAAAGGGGAATAAATGTTAATTTGTGAAAGGGGGAAAACACTAGGAAACATTTGAGAACCTGCCTCTATCCAGAATGTGCCTGAGATCTGACACTCAAACCAGGGTTTCAGTCCCATGCTTGGCACCATAGAGCTTCACGTGCAGTTTCTTCCAAATGCCCAGAGCCTTGTCTTCTCTTACCTTGGGCTACAAATGGGTCTGAGGAAGTCTATGGGAAAGTAGTGTTTTAAGCTTTTTGAAAGTTAAAAAAAAATTGTTTCAGTGTTCAGAGATTGTTGTTTTTCTCCCTCTCCTGAATCCTCTCCTGTTATGAACCAAATTTATAATATAATTAATGTTAAGCTAAGATGATGCTCATCCAAAATTGTTGCGGTCATCTTCATAGATGGATAAATAAAAGCAACCTTGTAAACATCCCATGTTTCACAGCAGCAAGTGACTTGATTATCTGTTTCTGTTTGGACCCCACAGGTGAAAGTCACTCGGACAGCTTGTTCTGTGCTTAAATGAGGGTGTCTGATTCCCGAGTCATTTGTCCGCTGCTGCTTAGTTTCAGAACCAAATTAAAATGTACAAGCCAGGATGAGCAAATGCAGCTGTTCCTTTTGGGAAAGGATCCATAGGATAAGGAATTGTGGCTTTCAAAGGAGGACTTAACAGATTAGAAAGAACACAGCTGCCAACTGCTCTCCCAGGCAACTGAAGGTTATATTGGTGCCCCTCTCCCAAGTCCTTGTTCCTTGACAGGAGTTGGGAATGTAACCATGTAATTGAGTTGGTGCATGTGGCAGGTGGCACTGGTGCCAGACCCATGCACCTACCCCACATCCAGCATCTATGATTTAGTAACAGCAGAACTTTCCTTCCTCCAGCATGTGTGCTCCCAAGCCCTGGCTATGAGTGGCAGCAGGGCAGAACCCAGCTGCCTCGGGGCTTCCCCTGGCTCTTCCCGTGAAGCTGAGCTGCCAGTGTTTAGGCTGGATGGAGAGTGAGAGCAAGAGCGAGAAGGAGAGCACGTGAGCAAGGGTGGGAATAAAGAAGACAGTAGTCAAGCATTGGGAAGCCGTTTTCAAGGGACTCGTCGCCTTAACCAACACCACCTTGAGCCTGCCAGGCATCAGGAAAAATCCCTGCTTTCCCTGGTTAATTGCTTACCTTACTGCATAGAAAATCCAGAGACTAAAATGAGCCTGAAGGATGAGGTCTTCCCTGTGCCATATCAAAGCATTACTGTATTTAACCACTCAAGCAGATGAGAAACTATGTTTATCAAAAATGCCTAGAGTTTGAAATTAAAATCTTATAGGAAAGTAGAGGAAGTTTTTTAATGACCATAAAAACTTTGAAAACGTATGTTTTTCCACTACCATTTTTTGAATTACAAATGTAGTATATAAAATACTAAATAAGGGGGCTAGAGCAATGGTTCAGTGGTTAGGAACACTGGCTGCTCTTGCAGAGGACCTGGGTTCAGTTCCCAGCACCCACATGGCAGCTAATAACATTCTATAACTCCTGTTCCAGGGGATTCACAGCCTCTTCTGGCCTCAGTGGGCATTGCATGTACATGATACATGTAGGCAAAACACTCATACACATAAAAAAAAAATTTTTTTTTTTGTATTTTTGAGACAGGGTTTCCCTGTAGCCCCAGCTGTCCTGAACTCAGTATGCAGACCAGGCTGGCCTTGAACTCACAGAGATCCGCCTGCCTCTGCCTCCCGAGTGCTGGGATTAAAGGCAAGCGCCATCACACCCAGCCACACATAAACTTTTTTAAAATAAGATACCAAATAAGGCCAGGCATGGTGGCACACACCTTTAATCCCAATATTCAGGAGGCAGAGGTGGGCAGGTCTCTATGAGTTGGAGGCCAGCTTTATCTACATTCTGAGCTCTAGGATAGCCAGGGCTACTTAGTTAGACCCAAATAAGTAATACAGAAATATATTTTAAAAACAAAAATGTTTAACGTCTTACTCCATTCCTTAGGGGCAGTAACAATGATTTAGCATATATCCTTCTAGATATTTTTCAAACTACAAATGTCAAATTATAAATGTCATACATAGGAATATAGGCTTAGTTTTTTTCTTTTTCATAAAAAGATATGTCTGGGCCCCCACTTGGCCATTTGAAAATTTTGTTTTTATCTGTTTATTTATTTGGTAGTGCAGGGATTAAATCCAAGTCCCCATATATGTTAGGCATTTACTCTACCACTGAGTTATATATTTTTAGCCCTTTTTAAATTTTTATTTTAGGGCCTGGAGAGATGGCTCAGCAGTTGCTCTTGCAGAGGACCAGTGTTCAGTTCCCAACACCCACATGGTGGCTAATAGCCATCCATAACTCCAGTTCCTGGGGATCTAACACCCTCTTCTGACCTCGCAGACATTGCACGACACAGGTGCATTTATGTACATTCAGACATAAATAACATTTTTTTTCACCTTTTTGAGATAGGGTCTTCCTATAGCCTCAGCTGGCCTGGAACTCACTACATAGACCAGGCTGGCCTTGAACTCTCAGAAGTCCATCTGCCTCTGCCTAAAGGTATGTACCACCACTCCCAGCTAAATAAAATATTTTTAAAATGTTATTTTATATTGAGACAAAGTCTTGCTACCTTGTCCTGAATGGCCTTGAACTTGTGATGCTCCCACCTACGCCTCCTGAGTAGCTAAGATCATAGGCATGTGCCACAGTGCCTGGTAAATTTCTTTTTAAATATATTATTATTTTTATTTTATGTGTATGAGTGTATTGCCTGCATGTATGTGAGTGCACCCATGTTGTGCAATGCCTCGAAGGTGAGAAGAGGGCGATGAATTCCCCTGGAACTGTAGTTAAGGACGGTTCGTAGCCACCATGTGGGTGCTAAGAATTGAACCGGGTTCTCTGCAAGAGCAGTCAGTGCTCTTAACCGCTGAGCCATCTCCCCAGCCCCCTGGTAAAGGCGTGTGGTAGCACACACCTTTAATCCCAACACTCAGGAGGCAGAGGCAGGCAGATCTCTGAGTTCAAGGCCAGCCTGGTCTACATAGTGAGTTCCAGGCCAGCTGGACCTATGGGGAGATCCTGTCTCAAAAAGATAAAAAAAAAAAAAAATACAGCTGGAGCTGGAGAGATGGCTTGGTGGTTAAGAGCACTTGCTACTCTAGAGGATCTGAGTGCAGTTCCCAGCACCTGTGTTAGGTGGCTCACAACTTCCTTTGCAACCCCAGGCCCAAGGGATCTGATGCCCTTTTCTGGCAGCCATGGGCATGTCCACACAATGGCATGTACTCACATAGATACACATAAATGATTAAAATAAATCTTTAAAAAAATTACAGGGAGGCTGGAGAAATGGCTCAGTTAGTAAAATGTATGCTGTCCAACATGAGGACCTGAGTTCAGATCCGCAGAGCTGAATATGCAAAGACAGATGGATCCAGGGGCTTACACGCCAGGGATTCCAGCCAGTCAGCAAGCTCCAGGTTCAACTAGAGACCCCGTCTCAGAAAATAAGGTGGAAAGTGATGGAGGATGGCATCTGACCTTTACCTCCATGCGTAAGCAGCTGCACACACAATAAATGCAGATTGATTGGGCCTAGTAGTAAATGCCTGTAAGTCTAGCACTTGGGAGGGTGATCACCATAAATTCAAGGTCAGCCTGATCTACGTAGTGAGTTCTAAGCTGCTAGGACTACATAGTGAGACCCTGTCTCAAAAAAAAAAAAAAAAAAATGGGAGGGGGGTGCTGGGAATATAGCTCAGTACTAAGGTTTTTGCTTGGCATACACAAGGCCCTAGATTCAATCCCCAGCACCAAACCAAAAGGATAGATGTTAAAAGAAAATTCTTTCTCCACCTAACCCTAACTTAATCATTGAATTTTTTTATATAGTCTAGAAAAAATTGTGTGTGCACGTGTGAGGGGCCTCACGTCAGCCTGTGTGTGTGCGCGCACACGTGTGAGGGGCCTCAGGTCAGCCTGTGTGTGCGCGCACGTGAGGGGCCTCACGTCAGCCTGTGTGTGTGTGCGCGCACACGTGTGAGGGGCCTCACGTCAGCCTGTGTGTGTGTGCACACACGTGTGAGGGGCCTCACGTCAGCCTCAGGTGGTGGTTCCTGCTGTCCACTTTGTTTTTATTTTTAGATTTCTTTTTAGGTTTATTTTAGATTTTGTGTGTTCATGCATGTGTGGCACACATGCATTTAGTTGCCTGAGGAGACCATGATTGGCTTGGCGTCAGAGTCCCTGGGCCTGAGGCAGTTGTAAGCTGCCCATCGTGGGTCCTGGAAACTGAACTCAGGTCCTCTGCAAGAGAAGCAAACACACTCACTCAACCTCTAAGCATCTGTCCTGCTTCCGTACCTTGTTTTTTGAAAGAAGGCTCTCGCTGACCTGGGGCTCACCTGTCAGGCCAGGCTGGCCAGTGAGCCCTAGGAATCTGACTCTTGCCTTCCCAGTGTTGATATTACAAGTATTTGCCACCATACCCAGCTTTATTATGTGGGTTCTGGTGATTAAAAGCAAGTCCTTGTGCTGAGCTATCTTCCCCAGCCCCTATTCTAGATTTTTTCTTAGAACAAACATAGAAGCCGGAGAGATGGCTCAGTGATTAAGAGCACTGGCTGCTCTTGCAGAGGACCCAGGTTTGATTCCCAGCACCCACATGGCAATGAGCAACTGTCCCAACTCCAGTTCCAGGGGATCTGAAGTCCTCTTTTGACATCTTGCAGGCAATGCACCATGGGTACACTTACATGCAAGCAATACACTCATACATATAAAATAAAAACAATAGAATTTTTGGGGGGTCTTTTTGAGACAGGGTCTCCCTGTAGTGGAACCCACTATGTTGACCAGGCTGGCCTTGAACTCAAACAGATCCTCCTGCCTCTGCCTGGCTAGAATTTTTTTTTCAGACAGGGTCTCCCTGTAGCTCCCTGGAACTCACTATGTAGACCACGCTGGCCTTGAACTCTATTCTACCTGAGCGTGGTGGCACACGCCTTTAATCCCAGCACTTGGGAGGCAGAGGCAGGTTGATCTCTGTGAGTTCCAGGCCAGCTGGGGCTACAGGGAGACCCTGTCTCAATAAGACACACACACAAAAAAAAGGAAATATTTTTCTTAATTAAAAATTTTTTTAATTTATTTTTATTTTATGTGTATGGGTGTTTTGCCTGCATATATATAAGTACACTTGTGTTGTGCAGTGCCTGCAGGGGTCAGAAGAGGGCGTCAGATCCCCTGGACTGAAGCTACAGACAGTTGTCAGCTGCCATGTGGGTGCTGGGAATCGAACCCAGGTCCTCTGCAAGAGTAGCCAGCGCTCTTAACCACGGAGCCATCTCTCCAGCCCCTTATTTTTCTTTCTTTTGCATAGCTAGTAATAATATTATGCATAGCTTTATGCAAC